GTGCATTATGTATATGTGTGACAAATGGTCACAGGAGATATCTATCCTCCTATCCATCTATCTTCCCCTCCTGGAATTGCAGGCTGGTTTTCAAAGAGGCAGAAAAACTAGCAATCAAATTGCCAATATTTGCTAGATTATGGAGAAAACCAGGTGTTCCAGAAAAACATCTACTTCTGCTTCATTGACTACAATAAAGCCTTTGACTGTGTGGATCACAGCACAAGGGGGCGAGTCCTCAAAGAGATGGGAGGACCGGACCATCTTACTTGTCTCCTAAGGAACCTGTATGCAAGGCCAAGAAGCAGCAGTTAGAACTGAACATGGAACAACTGATTGGTTTCAAACTACTCATTGGAAGCATAAATACTGAAGCTGAAGCTTAAATTCTTTGGCCACATAATGAAAAGACAGGACTCATTGGAAAAGACCCTGATTTGGGAAAGATTGAAGGCAACAGAGAAGGGACAGCAGAGGATGAGATGGTTAGACAATGTCATGGACAGAACTTGGGAGATAGTGAAGGGACAGAATGCCTTGGCATGCTGTGATCCATGGGGTCACGAAGAGTCAGACATGATTGAATGACTGAAGAAACAAACATCCATCTGTCTATGTATTTGTCTCCTGTGACCATTTGTCCATTGTAGAATAAGTTTTATCATTTTGCATTAATTCCTTACAGAGTTTGGGTGTTAAATTTTATCTATTTACCAAATTTTTGAATCATACGGTATTCAGATATGCAATTCTAATGAGGTAGATAGACAACATGTACATAAATGTGTGTATGTGTACATTCTGTCCCAGCAAATGAACCGTTTTTCAGAATGTCTTTTACTACGCAAAATAAAATATGTAAGATTCAAAAGGAAAACAATTATACCGAAATGCAGAGGTTACCAAAAAAAAATTTTTTCCAAGTCAATAGACCACAGGTTAAGAACTTCTAATCTAATTAGACATTATTATAGATGTATGATGTGAAATGTAGGTGAAAACTCATAGCCAAAGAAGATAATACAATTTTCTCTAAGAGGTTAGCTCACAGGAATAAGGAGGTGATAGTTCTTCTGTCCTCTGCCCTGGGCAGATCATATCTGAGATGTTATATTCATTTATTTTTACAAAAACTTGGAAGGTAAGTGTGTGTGTGTGTGTGTGTGTGTGTGTGTGTATTTCACACACATACTTGCATATGTGAATATTTACACACATGCACACTTGCATCTATCCCATTAAAATTGTATACCAGGGTATCATGTGTTCCCAAAGTTCATACATGTGTATGTGCATATTTGCACACACATATTTAGATAGCATATATATACATATATGTATATCTACCTACATATGTACATCTATACATGTGTTTATGTGTGTATGTGTGTGTGTGTGTGAATATATATATATAATCTCCTAGTAGGTGGCATTTGAGCTGTCTCCAAAGTACCCAGGGATTCTAAGTGCTGGAAATGAGGAGGAATAGTTCCTGTGGAATGGGAGACAGCCAGTGCAAAGACACATAGATAGGACATGGGTCATCAGAAGAGTAAGGGGACAAGGATGTAGAGGATGTGAAGGGAAATAAAGTCCTTTCAACAATCTTCATATGCGTTGCAGTCAAGACCCTTTCCTAGTTGCCCTCCTACTGAACACACTCCTCTGTATGAGGAAAAGTGGTGAGGGGTGGGCTGTGAGATGAAGAGGGGAGAGGAGGGAGCTGAGGTCCTCAGCTGAGAGTATCTGCTATGGCAGGCTTAAGAAATTTGCAACAGCTGCTTTATTAAGCAAGACAGAGAATCAATTTTGTTGCTGTTGAGTTGTTTTCAGTCATATCTGACTCTTTGTAATCCTCACCCCCAATTTGGGGTTTTCTTAACAAAGATATGGGAGTGGTTTGCCATTTCCTTCTCCAGCCCATTTTACAGAAGAGGAAACTGAGGCAAGCAGGGTTAAGTGACTTGTCCAGGATCACACAGCTAGTAAATGTCTGAGAACAAATTTGAACTCAGGTCTTCCTGACTTATAGGCCCAGCATTCTATCCACTGTGCCACCTAGCTGCCCAGAGAAATCAGTTAGGGAGGAGATAAAAGGGTTGGTTGCCTTGGTGCAGGGTTCTTCTTTAAGCAAGGTCTTTATGACTACTTGTTACTTTTTACAAATTGAATTCTTTTTTTTCCATGTACCAGTTAGATTCAGTGGCTACTAAGATTCCTTTCAAAATTCATTTTTTCCTCATTCTGCTATCCAATTTTTTCAATAATTCTTATTGAATAATTCCTTTCTTCAGTATCTTGTGATGTTGCTTTCATCCAGGATTAATCTCTCATAGATACTTAGTTCTCTCTGTCTCCTTTTTTTCTGACTCATTTTTCTGTTTTGCTATTTTCTTTTTTTTGATAATGTCTGCTTTATGACATTTTAAAATATCATCGACAAGATCCTTTAATTTGTGCTTCTACAATTTTGAGATTCTCATCTCTTTATTTTTGTGTTTTTATGTTTTGTATTATTGTATTTTATTTAGATTCTATTGTTTTTTTGCTTGTATTGTAATTAACTTCATTTTTAAATAGTGGTACTGCTATTATAAATAGTGGAGTATTTAAATTAAAGTTACCTTATATTAATTTGGATAATGTTGACATTTTTACTATATTAATGATAATAAGTAGCTTTTATGTGGCATTTTAAGTTTTGCAAAAGACTTTAATAATATTAACTCATCCTCACAACAACCCTGAGAGATAGTTGTCATTGTTATGCCCATGTAACAGATGAGAAAATTGAGGCATGCAGAGGTTAAATGATTTGCCCCAGGGTTACAAAGCTAGAAAGTTCTGAGACTATATTTGAATTCAGATCTCCATGACTATAGGACCAGTGCACAATCCATTAAATCACTGAGGTATATTTATATTAATTCCACTATTTATGGGCAGGCAGCTAGGTTGACACAGTGGAGAGAGTGCCAGGCCTGGAATCAGGAAGACTTATCTTCCTGAGTTCAAATCCAGCCTCAGATGCTTACCAACTGTGTGACCCTGGGCAAATCACTTAATCCTGTTTGCCTCAGTTTCCTCATCTGTAAAATGAGCTGGAGAAGGAAATGACAAAGCACTCTAGTATCTTTGTTAAGAAAACTCCAAATGGGGTCACAAAGAGTTGGACATGACTGAACAACAACAAGTTCATGGGCAGAATATAGATTTTTCAGTTGTTTAATTCTTTTTTTTTTTTTTAGGCAATTGGGGTTAAGTGACTTGCCCAGGGTCACACAGCTAGTAAGTGCCAAGTGTTTGGTCTGAGTCCGGATTTGAACTCAGGTCCTCCTGACTTAAGGACCGGGGCTCTATCCACTGCGCCACCTAGCTGCCCCTCAGTTGTTTAATTCTTCCATAATTTCTCCTCACAATTTCCCTGAAATTGTCCTTCTAGAGACCTTGGGTATATGTAAATAGATTCCCTACATTTACTAGACAAACTCCTTATCCCTTTTTCTATCATGTTAAAATTAAATTATTAATAAGTATTCTTATTTCTCAGTTTCATAAGCTTGTTAAATAGATGATTTCCTGTTTTTGTATTTTATCTTTATTAAATAGACATTCAATTTCCTGATTAGGCCAAATGCCTTAAAGTTTTGATTTTTATGATATGTATAATGCCATGGACATGTAGCAAACTATTAAACTGTAAACTACAACAAATATCTGTCTTGACAGGTCATTTGTACAGGGTAATGCTGTCATTTTAGCTTGCTCCCAAAAATCAGTATCTTAACTGTTCTTTTATATAGTTTTCTGACTTCTCCTGATTTTTATTTTCTACATTTTTAATTTCAAGAACTTGACGCGATTTGCTGATGAGCGTAACAACTCTGTGCCTGTCTCAATATCATCAATGTGCCATTTCTCCTTTAACCAGATTTTGAGAGCGTTGTTTCAGGTCGTTCTAAATTCTTTTCAGATTGTTCCTCGGTGAGCTAATGGATTTAGTTGTAGTGTGCGTAATGTCATGTATGTGAAATTTGCTATAAAGAATAACTACATTTGTGTATTGATGTCACTTTTTGGAATTCCAAATCCTGGTAGCCAAGGGGGGGGGGGGGGGGGGGGGGGCAGGGAAATTCCCATGTAGATTTTTGAGATCCTTCTGATGGCCTCTGCAGGGTGTGGAAAGATTATGAAATAGCTTTGGGACCAAGTGACCCTTCTTCCTCAAAGTGGTATGTTGCGTAATCGAAATAAATCAGAAACATTCCCCTTCCTCTTTCCTCTCCCCCCTCAGAGGCACGTCAGGCTGACACCTTGCGCCAGCATCACCTGGCATGGGGTGGTTTAGGTTGCTCCAGCAACAGCACACACTAGGTAACACTCCCCGTAACAGTGGAGATGTGAGTCAGTTCAAAAGTTTTACTAGGTTTTTATTAGTCCATGATGCAGTCCCCAGTCATCTGCAATTACTAGCTCATCCACAGACTCATGAGTGATAACTAGGAAAGCTCGATGCTAATTACTTCCAATACTTAGATGGTCCCTGACCCTATGGGTGCTCCCATCCAGTTCCAGAAGCACCCCTTCTTTGTCAATGCCAAGAATAACTGGATCTGTTTGTGGAGAAGAATATGGGGCCAAGAGAAAGGCTTGGATAACGCCTGTGCTGTTTGATACTTTGTACGTCTCTTCCTCCGCCTGATTGATAAATTGTACTGAAATTATTTGGATTTTTGCAGAAATTCCACTCTTTCATGGAGGTGTGGGGCAGCTGGACAATTATTTTAATGTCTTCTGTACATATGAAGGTTAATGTTCCTTCGTCCACACCCCAATTGCACCATATGCTTAATGCCTAGGGGAGACAGACAATGCCCAAAAAATTGAGATAATCGCATTTGATTAAGAAGACTCGGGATAATTAGAACTTGTAGTTTCATGTTGAAAAAGAGTCAAAAAGGCATTGTTAATGTCTAATACGAATTTGATTTATTTTTCAGACACGGAGATGACTTGATTGTGACTCCATTTGCTCAGGTAAGCACAACTTCCATGGGGATTTTATCCATGACCTGATTTCTTAGAAACCTGGAAGTAAATTTGGGGGCTAGAATCAAGATGGAGGGGGGATTGGGGAAGAAATTCCTTGTTTTTAAATATGTGTTTGATAGCTAAATAGGATACTATTTAGATAAGTAAAAGAAACACCAAAGAGGATGACCTTAGCAGTGGCTTTTATTTATATCATAAGACTTTTAGTTAATCTTTTGTTTATTTTTATTTGAACCAAGATGCCGGAGGCCCATTTTCCTCAAATTGATTTATGCCGCAGGGTTATTATTGTATCTAACCAATAGGGTTCTCATTGCTTTCTTGCTTATAACCATAAGGGATAGAAAGCTAGATCAGAGGTCGATAAAACTTACACAGATTAAGACAAATGTGCTTATTTTTACTATCATACCACTTCTAGTTACACTTTGCTTCTTCTTATTTAAGATGTCATTTTTACCCAGAAGGGGTCAGTATAGGATTTTTGTTAAATTGCTAGTGATCACTATTCAGAATCTGAAATTTTTAATTTTTGATCTAGACTTGTGAATTCTTGCCTCTAACATTATCTTCTGGGCCTTGTTTAAGGCACCTAACAAGGTTTGTTCCTTCATTCCTAAAGTGAGAAGTTGAATTAAGTGACTTCTGAGTTTTCTTCCATCTCTAGAGCTATGATTCTTTGATTTTATCAGTATGAGAAACTCCCGGTGTGGAAACTTCCTCCACCAATGCAAATTGATCCCTCTTCCAAAACCTGTCATCTTATGGTCATATAGCTAGTACAAGTAAAGGGTAGGACACGAACTCATCTTCTTTATTCAAAAACCAGTCAACTATGTACGCACTAGACCATGCTGTGCCTCTCTCTCTCTCTCTCTCTCTCTCTCTCTCTCTCTCTCTCCCTCCATATGTGTGTGTGTGTGTATTGTGTGTGTATGTACACATACACATATACACACACAAATATAGATAGATAGATTTGTACACATATATTTAAAACCAGAATAATTGAGGTCCAGTAAGTTGACCTAAAATTGTCAAAAAAAAAAATCATCCAAGAGGATGGTGATTAGTAACATGTCCACTTAAGACCAAAAAAAAAGTGGGGAAAGGGAGAGAATGGATATAAACTGGTTTAGGAAATGGGTTAATGATAATCACTATTAATTCCTGGAATGCAAGTCATCCATCTCTTGAGGCACAAAAGATAGAATAAAATACACATTGATTTCAGACAGTTTAATCTTTCCTGGTTTGTGGCATCACTAGAATAAAAAAAAATCAACACTCCATCTGGAATCATCTCAACAACTATAGGTGGAAGGGCCCTTGGAAAATGTCTTATGAGAAAACTCATGCCCAGGGATATAAAATAATTTATAGCTAAATTAGTAGCAGACCTGTGCCTTGAACTCAGTTCTGTTGAATCTCTGTCGACCATTCTTTCATCTATACCAGGCAGAATCTGATAAGTATTTGTCCTTTTGACTTAACTAAAGGCCTTGCTTCTAGTTTTAAAGGGATATTAACATCAAGCAAATAAAACAGCTTGTCATCCTAATCCTTTGAATTCTTCAGAGATGATTATTATTCAAACCAAAAGCTTTGTTTCTCAGAAAGTCAGAAACGTCTTTTATTCTCACAGAATCATAGATTTAGAGCGGGAAGGGACCTTAGAGACCGTTAAATTCACCTCCTTGTTTTACAGATGGGGCCCAAATTGGTTTAGTAACTTACCCTGGGTCTCACAACTAGTAGGTGTTGAAGGTGAGATTTTAATCTAAGTCTTCCTCTCTTTAAATTTGGCGCCCAATCCACTACTCCATGTTGCTTTTTTCATACTTAACTATTTTGAAATAAGCCAAGAATATCTAATATTAACAGAAAGATATGTGGGATCTTCTGTTTTCCTGTAACGCTGAAGTACATTTGAAATCTGTTGTAAAGTTCCACTTATACGTTAAATATGCTCGAGGAATCTTCTTGAAGGCATCTCTAGCACTATGTTTCATTGTCAAAAAGAAAGTTCACTTTTTTTGTGATTTGATAACACCACTATCTGGTCACGTCCTCTGCTTGTAGAGATTTCTAGATAATATTGTCTCCTCTATTTATCATATCTATAATAGCCAAGAGTAGGGGTGTGGGAATGGAAGTTCCAGAAAAACTAATAGGATCAGGCAAGGAGGCCTGAAGAAATATCATATAAATCTTCAATTATGATCATTCTATTTTCATTGTATTCAGATAGCCAAGTTAACGCAGGTTAACTTGATATTTAATTATATCAAAGAACTTGTAAGCTTATCAATGTGAGTATACCCTCAAACTGTGCCTATCAAAACTTATTGATAGTTTCTCATCTTGAACATTTCTTCCCCCTGTGCCTCCCATAAATCCTCTGTACATGATCCACCCAGCTTGATAGAAGTCCCCTTTCACCATTCCCAGGGGGAGTAGTAAAAACCTTGTTGTGTTCATTTGATTTCCTTGCTCTTGCCATATGACTAATCCTGGTCTGTAGCACCTTCTGGCCTTCAGTAAATAAAAGGATAAATTATTAAAACGGAGGATGAAATAAAAAGACCACAGCGTTGTATCAATGAAGGCAATGAGTATATAAGAGTATCAAAATACAGATAAAGCAGATCTGGCTCTACCTGTCAGTCAGCAAACATCTATTAAGAGCCTACTATGTGCCAGGCACTCTACTAAAGGATGGAGATACAAAAAAAAAATTAAAAAAGTCAAAAGCTAGTCCCTGCTCTCAAGGGAGCTCACAGTCTAATGGAGGAGACAACATACAAACTTGAATTTTATTTTTAGTTAATGAGCATTTCACCTTCCCACCTCTCCTTATTGGAGGAAAAGAAAAAGAAAGAAAAACCAAACCTTTATAACAAGAATGCATAGTCAAGCAAAACAAATTTCCCCGCACCCGACCAGGCCCCAAAATCTATGCCTCATCTTCTCTCTGCATCCATCCCGTCTCAGTAAGGAGGTGGGTAGCATGCTTAATGTGGTTCTCAATTGTACTTAGCATGTATACTTATAAAACAGATACAATTCTAGCTGTGGTCTTATAGTCTGAGATGAGTGGGTGTTTATAAAGAGCCTGAGTCACCAGACACTTTACAAAGAATGATTAATAGAAATCCTTCTACCTTCCAGGACCTTTCAGGCCAGTACTAAATATGGTAGTGATGCAAACAAGTTGTGTGCTTCGAAGTTAATGAACACCTTAGTGCAGGCCACATCTAGCCTAGCTGAATTTGTGAGTGTTAGAGAAACACTCCAGTCACAGATAAGTCATTCAGAGAGATTTCTGTTCTCACAGCCAGGCTACAGAAATTTACCATCTTATCTCTAATACGATGGTATTAGTATCACCTTGCTTTTTACTATCCACTGTAAAGAAATCACAGTTAAGATACAGGGGTGGAGAACCTGCTGGCCTTGAGGCCACGTGTGACCCTCTGGGTCCTTGGGTGCAGCCTTTTGACTGAGTACAAGTTTTATAGAACAAATCCTCTGATTAAGGGGATTTGTTCCGTGAAGTTTGGATTCGGTCAAAGGGCCGCATTTGAGGACCACATGTGGCCTCAAAGCCACAGGTTCCCCATCCCTGAAGAATCTTTTATATCCATCCTACATCTATTTTCTTGCTGAGGAGTCCCATTTGTAATCTTCATTTCCCTTATGGTCATCAACACCCTTAGGTGTTTGTGTACACTATGAAATGTGTTCCTTTCCTAATTCTTTCCAAATGTACAAAGAATAACAAAAGCATAGTGTTGGAAGAACGTGTGAAGTCATATAGGTGCACAGGAAGCCCACAAAACTCCTGCATGCAGGAACCAGATTAAAATGTAATTGGAAAATATTTAACAAAATATACAAAAATACACCACAACACAGATAATCTTAATGTGTGTGTGTGTGTGTGTGTGTGTTTTAAGGCAGTGTGTAGCCTGGCAAGGATCTGTTGCTATTTGAGTCTGATACCACTGATCTGGAGTTTATACCCCGACAAAAAGCATATAATAAGTGTGAACTAGTGTTATCATCATTGTTCCTGGAGAGCACTGCAATATATACCATTAACACTCCAGATAGATAAAATTGTAGAATCTTTGGTGGTAATTTGGAGTTTCAGTATGACAGAGTTGTTAGAATGCTAGGCCTGAAGTTTAGGAAGAGACCCGAGTTTAAATCCCACATGTAACATTTGGTAGCTGTGAGATCACAGGCAAGTTACTTAAACTCTTTTGGCCTCACTGTCTTGTCTGTAAAATGGAGATAATATTTGCCACACCTACTTCACAGAGTTGTATGTTTAAGGCACATGTGTAAATGTAATTGTAATATGCAACGCACATGTATAAATGCTAATTATTATCCAAATGTTTAAGCAGCAGTCAAGATTAGAAAAAATTTCCCAAGGTTTAAACAAAATTCCTTTCCTCTTCCCCTTCTTTGTTTCTCCAAGTACCTCCTGTGGAAGCTCAAAATCACCTTAAACCTTAGAAAAATTGACAATATCCCATCAAATATTTAACTGATTCCTTTTTTGAAATGTTCTCCTGGTGCTTCTGATAGAGACCTTTCAGCAGGTAATTCCCCAGGCAGGAGAATCTAAGTGTCGTTCTGATAAATCCCATAGCTATGCTACTTGCTTTGAAATTGGCATTTTCCTTTCAGAAGTATGATGGTTAGTTGACTGGGCATCAGAGAGAAGCCCCTGGGAGACACAAAGCTGATGAAAATGGAAGAAAATCCCCTTTGTACTTGGCAGCCCCTGGTCTCAGCAGTCCTGTTGTTACAGTCTGACTACCTTGTATTTATTTTTCATTTCAAATCATAAAACTCTTTGGGGAGCCATGAAGCTAAAAAATAAATAAATAAACTCAGAAACAAATACCCCTTCAGTTCTTTAGAGTTCCTATTCGGGAATTTGCAATGCCAAATGAAACTGAGCCTTTGAT